GTCTAAAAAAAAAAAAAAAAAAGATTAGAACCCAGATCTGAGAATGTTTGTCGAAGTTTGGACTAGCCTAAAACTCTTATCGTGAGGCAATAGGAGACAGCTTGCAACTATTATTTCACTTATCCATTTGGACAGATGGTCCTGAAGTGTGCTGTGTTCCTTTAGTCTTCTCTATCTGTCTAATGGAGGTTACTGGAGGGCCTTTCAGCTCTTTCCTTGGCACAAAAAGTATGTCAGTCATAAATTATCGTCTTTGTAATCATTAAGGATCTCAAACAAAAACACAAGTTCAGTTAAGCTGCTTTGGCTTACAGATATAAAATCAAAATTTCTTGCTCCAGTGTTTATTTTCAGTGGAGGGGAAAGAAAAAAAAAGCCCAATATTTAACTCTTCTATTTACAAACCAAGGTGATCTTTCACAAATTTGCATGACATTAAAGGAGATGCTAATCACCTTCTCAGCAGAATATTTGGCTAAACACCCGGTTATAAGTAGTCGAGAGCTTATCAATATTAATTTGATTATGCTTCTGCAGTAACTTTCTGGTTTCCCCCTGTTCTTAAAGATTGCTCGCGCCGTACTTGATGGAGGTCATTTGGAAACCTTTCGCTTTCCAAAATATCTGTTTATTCGACCTTTTTGCACAAGGTATGGGATTTTTTGTTGGGTGGTAAAGCACACACGCACGCACACGCATGCACGCACGCACACATGCACATTTTCTTTTTTTTGCTAATTTTTCCCAGACTCTCTTTGAAGAGAAAAATCCTTAGAGAAGCTTCTAGGAAGGACCCTTAATTGACCTTGTGGGGGACCACATTGATTTTCTCCACGTGCATCTTCATTTCTGATAAATTATAAAGCCATTAATTTGCTGAGGAAATGGCAGGGCCAGGCTGCGGCACAGATGTGACCAGGGCCGCCCCAGCTCCGCGGCTGCTGAGGAGTGCCAAGAATCCGGGCGAGAATCAGGAAGCCTGGATTGTTATGGTTAGCCTCACATTCTCTCGGGAACTGTTTTAGTTGCTGCTGTTTACAGATCTAAAAGGTAATGATGTTTCCAGATAAATAGGCCTTCTTATTTGGGGTAAGTGGCCATTTATTGATCTGCTAACCCACCGTTATTGATTTGTTAGCCCCAACCACTGCGCTACTCTCCAAGGAGTTAACTATAAATCCGGGAGTGGCAAATTGTGTTTGGTCTTGGATCGTTGCTTTAACAAAAGCGACACCCCCTCCCTCCAGTCCTCTCTGTGCCAAAACGACCCTTCCCCAAATTTAGCTATGATTTAAAAGGAAACAATTAAAAGGATATAATAATACGATAGGAAGAAAGTGAGTCAAGACGCTCCATTACATTAGCACTAAAAGGTAAGATGCGAAGCTCGCCTGTGTTCAAAATAATGCCTTTTGTGTTCTCACGCACATTAGTATAATAATTTGATGTAAACTGCAGAGTGTGGAGAAGCGAATAAACAGAACTGTAATTGTGAAGACGGAAAAAACCATCTTCATGATAAGAGTTGTATAGCACGTGTTGGGTGCATTTGTCTCCTTAGCAACAAGTGAACGTATAGATAGAGGGGCCCTGTTTTGCCACCCTCACCACAACGTAACCACGATTCTGCAACGAAATCGTGCATCCTCACCGTGACATTTGGCAATTTTTGGCAGGCAATGGGCATTTCGAGCCAGCGGCAGCTAGTCAGGGATGGATTGCCACAGGCCGTGCCATCTACCTTCCAGAATTCCCACGGCCACTTGGTGGGCCTCCAGACGCCCGGTGGTGGGGAGGTGGCTGGTCCCTGTGTTTAAAGAAATGTTTTCCTTAACCAATTGCATCCCACATGCAGGAAGGATTGTCACCCAACCACTTGAAAAAAGCAAAGCTCATGTTCTTTTATACCCGTTATCCCAGCTCCAACATGCTGAAGACCTACTTCTCTGATGTAAAGGTAGGGACATCTTGTATTATTTTTTCAGTTTCTGTGCATGTCGTCGTGATTTGAACTCTTGGGAATTCATGGAGATGAGTCTGGAATCAGTTCACGGATACACCTGTGCTGTATTGATTTAATGCACTTGTCCTTCTGTCTAAAGCCAGGCCAAGCAAAGCCGCCCCCTACGTATTAAGACCACAGGACTGGTATTAATAAGTCACATGGTTTCCATGGTAGTCAGGGAAACTTAGCCTCTGTCTTTATACGTCTTAGTAACTTCTTGGAAGAAATTTCAGCTGGTACAGAATGGATGTGCTTCAGGGGATGCTTTTTCCCTTTCCTCAGCAACAGTCAGCTGTTTCTGTTTTTATTTCTGCTAGTTTCCCCATATTTGTGCTTTTGAAAGCAAACTCTAGCACCTCTTTACCCCCCTGCCAAAAAGGAGCGTACATTGAAATTCTCTATGCAGTAGCTGCTTAAAAACAAAAGTGATGATTGTCTCTTATTTACAACTTAATTTGTTGTTGATGTAGAGTACACTGAGCATAAGGAGAATGA